TCCTGTGGTGGGAAGTCTGATGATCCCTCGAGTAGACCGGTAGTTCCAAGCTGACATGGATCTTCTATGATAACGGTGACAATTCCTCCAAAAGGTCGATCTCCATGCAGCTTTCCTTTTCTTAGGGTCTTCAAAGCTTGCGATAAGCCATCTAAGATAGTATCGTGGACTATCCCCACCTCGTCCACTATGAGAAAGGCCTCGTCAGACAAGAGCTCCCTGCGCTTTGCAGCTGAGAGGTTACCCAATATTCGAGTCGCTAGTTCTCGAGGGCATCTCATCAAGGCGTGGTCGCCTTACTGCCGGACCTCTCATATTCAAGTCTGAAGTAGCTCATAAACGTATCACCTCCTAGAACCCTCGCAGCCATCCCATTCCAAGATAATACTATTGGGCATTTCTTGCAATCGCGAGCGTTAGCAATTATCGCTTTTGCCACATGCGTTTTACCAGTACCGGCAAAACCTGTTATGTAATGGTAGTGAGGTTCGCTTTGGAGGAGGAGGATGCTTTCGATAACACCCACCAGTACATCTTTCTGGTCGATATCGAGTTCGAAATCGTGGGAGGACATAGTGAAGCACTTGAGCTACCGCTATTGCGGGTCAATACTGCACGTTTGATTTTAGTTGCTCGAGCTTGGAATTTCCGACCATTATATTCTTGCTCATCTTGATTCTTCTACATTGTGGCGCTCGAATCGTAGCTCGCGCAGAGGTATTCATTAATACTAGTTCATTGTTATGGTCGTTGTGATGGTCGTCGTTGCGATGGTCGTTGTTGTATTCATTGTTATTGTCGCTGTGATGGTCGTTGTAATGGACCATTACTGATTGTCGTTGTTTTATTCATAGTTTAATATTGTATACATTGTTCATTGTGATTATTTGAGTTCTAGTGCCCGCCAGTAAAGTAGCGACAAAACATTGAATTGATGTCAAGAAGTACAACAACATCCATAACAACGACCATAACAATGAATACAACGACGAGCATCACGACGACTATAACAATGAAACTCGATTAGTCATTAGAACGACGATTGCCTCCCAACATCTCAAGCGAAATCCGACTTCTCAGGAGTACCGGAGGACTTAAAACATACCTTACCCTTCTGTCCCCGCCAATACTATAGCTCTCATATTTCTTATGAGCATGTATAAGACTCATGCCATAAATTGAAAAGTAGAATCAGACGTGAGGCGTACCTTGCGAATTTTCGCCGCGGAAGCAGATATGTTTACTTCGTCGTCTCGATGACTTGTGGAGAATTGTCCTCAGTTCTCACACCTCGTGATATAAAACCATATTGTTGAGAATGTGCAGATATATTCATTCGTAGCGAACGTGCGGGATGTTGAGTCTCGCGCTCCGTAAACTGCGTAAATCCTACCCATTGCTCTCACTCAAGAGGTTCAAACTAATACCAAAAGATCAAGTAGAAGCTATACGTCTTCACGTGGATGGTGGTAGTAA